TGTCATTGTCATTGTCATTGTCATTGTCATTGTCATTGTCATTGTCATTGTCATTGTCATTCTCATTGTCATTACCATTGTCATTGTCATTAAACTAAGCGTTACACTAAAAATTTCTATTACAAATGATTTCAAGCCTTCACTTTAAGCTTGTGTTTTCTTTTTATTTTCTGCTCTGTCCGACTAATCTACATGCTATCTTCCTTCACCGTGCTTTGTAGGGGGAGCCAGCCAAGCTTTCGCTGGCAGAGACAGCACGAGCTGTGCTGCCCGCGCAGTATCCTCCGTTGGCTTTTGTGTTGCCAATTGTAGCTGGATGAACAATGTTGCGTATACTTAATGCGTATACTTAATGCGGCGCATTGCTCATACGCAACGCTGGCATTGTTTGTACCGGATGGTGGTGGTGCTCCTGCTGCTGCTGCTGTCGCTGCTGTCTTTTGTGAGTGACTTAAACGTTTGCACCATTTGACTTAATGAAGCTTAAAGACAATAAAATGCTAAAGCACACAATGTAGCTACTGCTGGACCACGCCCCAAGTCGCCCGCACTGTGCGTCGCCTGTCGAAGAGGAGCGCTAGCAACTTTTGGCGGCCGCGCGTCATAATTTCTATGAAATTTTATACACTTTGATAAGCATTCAATCGGCATGCGAGTCACGTTCGAGCCAGCCAGCCATTTAGGGGCGGCCACGCCACACCCACCCTCTACATCTACCCAAGAGCCCGGTCCGAAGATGTTGTTTGTGCCGTAAACTTTCTGGTGTTGGGGCCGGCCATGTAAATCAGGCCCGGGCACAATTAAACGCGCTGGTCACGACAACAATGTTAAGGCTAATGGAACTGAGAACTAGTAACTCGTGGCTGAACCAGGAAATCGGAACCGAACCTGTGGAGCTGTGACGCTGGCAACATGAGGCAAAGCGCACTTCCTTTTGCCATTTCCGTTTGTTGTCGCAAAGTGTAAACAATTAAATTTTAATTAGAATTCGCATTGCTTGTCAGACACCAAACGCTCAAGATTGAAGCCGAGCTGTTGGCCTAGACTTCCCCTTTGCCGTTTGCCGTTTGCCACTTGCCGCATGCCACATGCCACATCCGAGGCAGCCAACCAGGCAGACAGTCAGACTCATTTCCGGCCTCGTCTGCTGCGTAATTTATTGTTGTTACCAAACAGCCTCAGACCCACCCACCCACACGCACACATCCACACACACACACACCCAATAACCCCCTTAACCTGGCCCAGAGCACGCATTGGGGCTGTAAATTAAACTCTTGGCACTTAATAGAAAATGGCCAGAAGCCTCTCATTTGCCACATTCGGTTTAATAAACTCCAGCGGTTTGACGTATTGCCTGGCTTAGTTTTAGCCACTTAACTGCCAACTGGCAACTGGCAACTGCGTGCCATGCGGCCCATGTCTACGATTTATGCTGCCCAAAGGTGTTAATGCCATTTCCTACCTTTCAGGCTCAGACGTTATACCTCTTGACTCTTGCTGTGTGCCTCGTGCCTCCGATTGGCGCCTTTGGCCCGCTTGAGCTATGCGCCCTCGGGCCTGACAACTTCTTAAGTCGCATGATTTGTGCTGCGTTTCGTCAGTTCCAGTATTTACGCAAGGCTTACATAAATTATGGGCATTAGTGTTTCTCAATACGCTGACATGAAATTGGACGGGATTTTATTGGACAGCAGCCAGTAAAACGTTTATGAATGCACAGCAAATGCTGTAGCGATAGCATTTCTTAGCGGAAATCTGTAGAATTTGACCTAGATGACCTTTCGAATAAATTGATTACGGCAAGTCGGTCGATAAATCGATAACGAATGGGTAGTTCATAGGTCAAGGTCATAGGGTACTCGTTGAGTAGTACAAAACTTAATCATCTGTTGCTGATATATGCTGGCAATCGATATCGGCATCGATAAGTTATAATTTATCGATTTTGTGTGTATCGATAGCTTTAAGTAAATCAATTGTTCAGTTGTCTGCCTGGTTAATAATCTTGTTATCGATATATGTATGTATATACGTATCGCTGGTTGCTCTCAACTCTGTTTGTATATGCTTCATCTAAGCGCTAGTGATATGAAAATTGCCCTCTCGATTATTCTAGTATATTCGATTGCATTATCGATATGTTGCCATGCAAAGCAGCTTAAGCTACGTGCTGGAAGTTCTTCCTTTATCGCCCTGCACATGATGTTATTCCCGTTGAATTCCTTTGCACTAACAATACCTTAACGATTATGCAATCGATACTCCTGCTTGGCTGAGCACAAGCCCTGACAGTGTAACTGACGTGTGTGTGTGGGAGTATGTTTATGTGTATGCGTGTTAGTGTCTGTGTGTATTAAACTTTAGACGCAAACATGTGTAATAATAGTCGTTGCGTGACAGCTGCCCCGTAACTTGATGCTGTTGCCATGTCGAACTACAATAACATCCATATAACTAGCTTAGCCACTTTAAAGCCATCCCCAGCCCCACCACCCGCCATTCACTTCTCTCATGGCCTCTGTAATTCCCCAAAGCCGCCCCCATCCGTTGGCTTGCTTTGCGTTTGCGATTTAGAAACAGCAGCAAAAGCAATAATAAAAAAAATATATATATATATGAAAAGAAAAAAAAAATTAAAATAACAAAATGCAAGTGCCCAAAGTGCTTGACTAACAGATGCCAACGGCCAGAGCCGAAACGGTTCGGTTGAGCAGCCTCAGCTGCAGCCCAGACTTGAGCTGGGGCAAACGAGGTTCGCTCAACTGAAGCTGGAGAGCTCTGGCCATGTTATACCCTCTCTGTGCAGTCGATGCTAATTACAGGGTATGTATTGCTAGCAAAGTGTACAAAAATGGTTAAAAATTGGCTCAGCTGCAGCGGCTGCCACGCCCACACACTGCGGCGCTGGGCAACTATGCTAAGCGGCGGCCACTCAGTTTTCTGGTCAATTTATGAGCAGTTGCTGTTGCACTTGCAGTTGCAATTGTTGTTGTTCCTGAAACTTTTGCTGGCTAACTGCAACAGCAACAGCAACAGCAACAGCAGCAGCAACAGCAGCAGCAGCAACAGCAACAGCAACAGCAGCAGCAGCAGCAGCAGCACTGCCTGCAGTTTATAAAGTAGCAACAAATAATTGACCACACACGCACACACATGGGGAGAGAGGGAGATAGAGAGAAAGGGAGGTTAAGCTACATGAAAAAAGTGTGCCACAAAAATACACACACACACCCACATACTCGTACACGTGTGGGAAAGCGCACTCAAATAGCCATCATCATGATGATCATAGTTGTTGCAGCTGCTGCTGTTGCTGCTGCTGCAACTGGCAATTGTTGCCGGCAGCGACATGAATTGCTCCACGCCCACTTTGCCGTACGCCTCCATTAACAGCCGGCGCCGTGAGTGCTCGGCAGCCTGGCCGCGTGCTTAAAAACACACAGCACGTTCACATTGAAGTGGAAATGCAGAGAAAATCCGTTAGTAAAAAACTCGCGTCTCCATATGAAATCCTTTTCGCCAAGCAAATAAAACAAATGCGATTTGTTCCGGAATTAATTTCGCTCGCTAATCGCCAATGGCCATTGCTGCAAATTTATTTATTGCCTGGACAAGCAAAACAAATGCGAGAGCTGTGAACTTCTGTTTAAAAATACACATACATACATACATACATTTATACAATTTTCATTATTGTGCGATGCCAGCAAAAATGTTCGCATTCATCAGAAATTCATCAGGTTATTCATAAATTTTTTGTAATTCCATAAAATACCTTTCAATTTGCCAGGGGCTTACGGATTAATATGATATGTATATACCACTATTATAGCGAGAGATATTTTGTTTTTTATCTGTGTAGGGCTGATGGG